CAACAGTTGCAAAATAAACAAATTACGACTGGCAAAAGACGGCAAAATTGACGATGACGATGACGAAGAAGATGGAAATGGAAATGAAAATGGAGATTGAGCTAAGGATGACGACAAAGGCAAAGTAAGCAAAAACAAAAGGAGCAACAACATGGAAATAATCAAATCATTTGCAAAATAAAAGCAAATTACTAAAAATTATGTGTAATGTATTTAAACACACACACACACACCCAGATACACCCACGCTTTGATGGAGCATTTGCAAATGCGTGTAAGCGTTGTGCACACATTTACGTCGTAACGTGCCACGCCCATAAATGTATATGCCCTCGAAGTTTGCCAGCGGCATTAGTAGCATGTGACGCCGTCCTGTAGCCATTTAATTCTTATTGAGTACTTGGAGCAATTCCAAGAAATCCGAATGACATGCTTGTCAAGCCAGCAGCATATTGAATATTTTTAAAATGAGACTATATTCTGCATAGAGCATGATTTCTGATTACAGTTGAAGCAGAATATAAAAATATAAAGCAGCGGAGAAGAAGCGGAGCTATGACGACGACGATTTCAAAAATGAATGCTCACTTGAGAAAAACAATTTAAGGCATTAGAAAATAAATCATATATCTCATTATTGCTTCCAGAGCAACTTTTTGTTGCATCAAATACGTTACGTTTAAAGCGTTTAAATTGCAAAACCGGCTGTTTTTGGCCCCTTTGAGATATGCAGGCTTCTTTTATAAATAATTTTTTCGCTTTGTGGGTGCTTTTCGCCCTCAATTTCATTTGCAATTGAATTCGGAATTATTTTTCATTTTTGCTGCGCATCTTGCAGAGGTCACAAGTGGCCTGAATGGCGCTGAATAGAAAGCTGAGGGAGAGCTACATAAGTTGCCCCTTTATAAAAGCCGCTTGCATGTCTGAGCGCCGTCTGTCTCTGACTGTTCTTGCTGCTGTTATTGCTGTTGCTGTTGTGCTGGAAATCCCCTAAGCTGGTCCGGGCTGTCAAATGTGGAAGTTGTAAAATTCATAAGCCGAGCGCGTGGCTTTTGTGCAATTGGAGCAACACGAAACGAAAGCCAAAGGCAGAGCATAAAAAATCTTGTACAAGTGCAAGTAGCTTCAGTTTGAAGTGCGGGGGCTGGTGGTGTGCGATTGCGGGATTGAATTGGGTGTCGAACTGACTGCAGGCAAAGAAGATAACACCAAAGTGCACTTTAATCTATGTGAAGAAATCTCAGAACGTCGCGACGACGCTGCAGCAAAAATATGATTGAAGTGTAGCTTGGAAAAGGAAAAAAATCTGTGCGTCGGGTGAAAGAGGGCCAGAGGAGATTGCAGGTACTGCAAGCACATGTGTTTGAGTGGCAAAAAGAGCGGGAGAGCGAAATAAATAACAAAATGAAATGTGCAGAAAACTGCGCACACAGCTGTTGATTGAAATGGCGCGACTTCTGAAGACCCACACAAATAACTTCAAATACAGAAATGTCCCACAGCCAAACAGAGAGAGATAGAGATGGTGATAGACATAGGGAGAGGGATGGAGAGGCAGTGAGCTATCTCGTCGAGTGGCACTCTCAAAGCAGCTCACAGCATAAAGGCCGAAAATCAGACAACATCTTGGTCCTGGCAAACACATCAGATAAGCACGATTGAATGCAAGCCCCTAACCAAAGAGCAACGCGAGCTGAGAGTCTCAAAAGAGTGAAAGAGTGGAAGAGGAGCACACAACAACAAAACTGTCCTAAAAACCAACCAAAAGAAAATAAAGGCTGCAGCAAAAAAAGTAAATAAAATAAAGTGAAAATAAAATGAAAAGATTTTTTTTTTTTTTAATTTTAACAAGTATAAAATCGTAGCAGTCGTACAAACCCAAATTTGTAATACTCTAATAAAATAAAATTTAAAAGTAAACTATTATGTAATCAGCCAAATATTCCATAATAATATTAAGAATAATATTTGGCTGATTTCATGCTTAGTAAACCTCTAAAGCTCTGATTTCGACTTGATCCTTATAGAAATAATTTATTTTATAAATTTACCTTCTATCCTCTAGTAATTATCCTTCATTTTATTTATTATTATAATTAACAGGTTTTTGTTTGCTATTTGAACTTCTATTGAGAACTTTTTTTTAGCCCATTTTAAATAAGAGAAATAAATAAATAAACTTGGAAACAGATATGCATATATTCTAAATTCCAAGTCTCTTGTCGAATATACTCTTGTTCCTTCGGGCTCAAGTTAAAAAAACGGGTCATTAGAGTAAGATGAGAAGCTAGCCTCCAAACCAAAGCTGCATACCCCTTCAAAAAATAAAAGTTGGCGCAGCACACAAAGAGCCTTAAAGCAGGCACTTCGTGGATCGAATCAAACAATATTGTATTTCACTCATGGATGCCCTGTTTAAAATAAAAACGATAACTTTTAAGAGCTGGCAACTGTTAAGTCGTTTTTCTCCATTTTGTAGAATTCCAAATTAGATCTAACAGTTTATGTATATGATATAAGTTTTATGTGGGATTTAGTACAATCATCTTCAATAAATAGTCAAGTTTCCTATCTGATTTTCTCGACGTAACCTCAAGCTCATCTTGTCCCTAATCATTTTCTTAAATAAAGGCATTCCAATATATATAGATATATTAAATCCTCATTCTGCTATATATTATATTCGGAAAATGAAATTGAGAAACAATTAGCTTCTTATACCCCTTATCGTTTTGCTTATAGGGCATAAGGCAAGATAGAAAATCAGGGGATGGAAGGATGCCTTTGAAATGCAAATTACACTCCTGGGAGGCATGGGGGTGGGTAGGGACAAGGCCTTGCGCAGCTGTTAGGTTGGGAGATGCAGCGGAAAAGAAAATGCGGAAGCTGCGTCCTGTCGGATTCTTGGCTTGTCTGTCGAGTGTTATGTATTTAGTGGCTGCTTCAACTGTTGCGTCCCACCTCCGCTGAGCCACCTGCTGCAGCTGCTGTACAATTTACGCTTTGGCATAGGTCGCGTTTTGTTGTTTGGCACACACCGAGAGCGGCCCTGCTGAAGTTTGGCAACACTGTGTGGACTTTACGCAAAGAAATAATAAAGACAAACAGTGCATTGTGTGTTCGTTTGTTGGGGCAAATGAAGAGCGAAAGGGTAGGTATGGGAATAAAAGTGCAAAAGCATAATGATAATGACAGCAGCTTTAACTCCCACCTCCCCCAGCGCCTGTCCAACTTGACACAAAAGCAGGCAGCCAAATAAAAATTTATGGCACAGTTGAAAACTGAAAACTGAATGCTTTTGCAATGTTGCCAGTGTGTACACACTGTGTCCCGAGGACCTCTCAGAAAACACATGTGAATCGGGAGTCGCGAATGAACAACTGGTCGTTATGAGTTTAAACGCTGAAGCTGGTTTGGCATTGGAAAAGGATTTAAAGCATAAACGACAAAAGAATGAAAACTTTTCAATAGAAAGTGCGTAGAATTCTTATTTATATGGTGCACTTTTCACTATACACTTTAAGTCAAAGCAATTCGAATTAACTATATACATGGAGTATGATAAATACAGAAGTATGTATGGAAATAAGTAAGTCAGTGGGAATTATTGAAAGAGATGTTTCAATATGATAAGCTATTGCACTAAGCTGCTGCATTTCATTGTCAATTCTTTTTTCCGCTCAAAACTCGCCCGCTTAAGCCATAAAAATACGGAAAGTATACCTCAAATTACATTTTGACCATATATTTGTAGCTGGATTCCAGTATGGCCAACATTTCGTATATATTTTACAATTAGCGATTACATTACAAGTCCATTATCGTCAATGTGTGGGTGGCAATATTTCCGATTGATTTAAATAAAAGAGCGCATCATCAGTAAAACAATTAATTCAATTTGTGATATTGATATTGTCGTATTTTTCACAACATCAATACGAAATTCGATATATCATCGCACAAAACGCACTTAAGTCGTGGCGAATTTCTAAAATTCGCAGCATACATTATGAATGTTGACTGTACAGAGTGTTAGCCTTATGGCGAAAGTACAGGCAACAACATTATATTCTGCAGATATTTGTAAATTTACATGTAAATAGTCGAATTATTAGTCTGAGAGTTGATATTACAACTTTTTCGAATTTCACGAAATTTAAATTTCTATTTACATTCGTATTTAATTGAATATTCACTAAAATCAACGTTAAGTATGTTCTTAGTGGCCAAGAGCGATCAGAAAAGTATCTAGATGAATGTAAATTATTGAGACCATAAAATGCGGGCAGCTTTTATAAAATCCAGTTCGCCGTTGATATTTGCGCTCAAGATAAAAAACAAAAAAAAAAACAAAAGCGACAAAAATAGCAAAGGAATCTCACAGTGCTTAAACAATAAAACAATAAATTTTCATTACCGGACTCAGGGCTATTAACGGTTTCCGCTGACCAAAAGAAAATGCATTTAAAAGGTTGCATTCGCCAACTGCTCGTTCGCTCGCAACAGTTGAATATAAAATAAATAAAATATAATTGTTCATATACATTCCAATTTTCCATTTAAGCCATAAAGTGCAGCGGCCGCAAAAAGTATACAACAATTTGTATTTACTTTCTTTGTTTCAACTGTTTTCAAAAATTTGACTTTGCATCACCCCCCCCCCCCCCCCCCCCACATTTTTTTCCCGGTTCTGTGTGCTTTGCGCTTTAATTACATTTTCGTGGTTTTCATTTTGCGCGCCATAAATAATTTCACCATGCAAAGCACACCTTTTTTATTTTCCTTTATGCATACAATTATTTGGCTCCGGACCAAAAAGGGTAAAACTGAATGTTGCACTTATTGCTGCTGCTGGTGCTGCTGCATCAGCATTAATTTACTTAAAATGAAAGCGTGCTACAAATTCCATTTTTATATTTTTCTCTATTTGCAACTCAATTTCAACTCAACATCAGCGCATTCACAAACTTATATTTTCTCTTTATTTTTGATAATTGCAGGTCACGTGGGTGGGTGCGGAATTACGGAGGAGGTCTCACAATGGATGGAGAATATACAAAATTCAGCCGTCGAGGAGCTACCGGTGCCCATGTCAAAGGATGACCAAAAGCTGCACCGGAAACAGCAGCACAAAAGCCAACAGCAACAACAGCAGCAACATCCACCAAAGAAATACGCCAGCGGCGACGATGATTTCAAATTCCCACATCAGAAATATACGAAGGAGGCAAACTTTGCCGATGGTGCATTCTATGATCCCGCAACCGGTCGACGACTGGGCACAACGGCCAATGTCGCCGATTGGCATCAGCTCGTTCACGAGCGCGTCCGTCGCTCCACGGGCGGCAACAACAACAACGGAGGCAGCGGCTCCTCAGCCAGCGGTGCGACGAGCTCAGCCAGCGCCGGACGTGGCCGTGAGGATAACAAAAATACCTGCTCGCTGTACATACAAACAGATCCATTGATTTGGCGTCACATACGCGAAGGCATTGCTGATGTAAGTTTGACTCTGGTTTTTGGGTGGGTTGAGTGGGTAGCGGGGATAGGGTGGTTGTTCTGGGAGACTGGCTCTTGGCAGCTCATGCGCCAAATTAAAATCGAAGCAGTAGCGAGGATTGTGGCTTAAAAAACATGCACACCCACACCCACACACTCACACGCACACACACACATACACACACACAGAAGCAAACACAAAACAACATCCATGAATTTTGCAATTTTTTACGAACGAACGCTTCACTTTTGGAGCTGCGCATAAAACAAAGGCGTTCCCTCTTTCATGGAACGGGATATAACAGGCAGGATTGGGGCCAACAGTGTCAGTCAGACGCCATTTTTTCTATTCTTTTTTAAGGGTATGCATAGAATTGAGTGATGAGCAACGTTGAGTGAAAATTGTTGTTCAGTAAGCTGAAAGTTAGCTGTGGCTTGTATCTACTAACTCCAGTTGACGTAGATTGGAAAGCTAAAAGAATCTTAATATCGATTATCTGAAAAATAGAAAAAATTATTTACAGTTTAATTATTTTTCGAATACTTGATAATTACTTCTTGAAACACGAACAAATTTTTAGCTGTCAGGATAATTTTCGTGTAAGAGTGGTATTCTTAATTGCTTTGCAATTTTTATTCTGATTGAATTTTACCCCATTATTTGCTTTTAGAGCAATGCACCAAATAATGAGATTGGTGATGGTCATTCAAAATTGGACTGAAATGTATGTAGGCCGAGCCATTCGTTTTCGAATTGAGTTTTGAGCATATAAACAAAAACAGAAACCAAATAAAGTACAATGTTTCAATAAAATCCAGCAAAATATCACCAAAATTAAAAATATTGACCCAACTTAACCAATATTGTTATAATAATTCGATAAAAGAACTAACAATATTCGAGCTATTAAAATGAATCTTGCTTTCAGGAAAAAGGTTAATTAATAAACTCTGTTCAATAAATAAAATTTTTTTTTCTCTTTCATAACAAATGAAGTCAGCATACAAACTGCCATCAAATCATTTGGTGTATAATTAAGGCCCCCTTTATCATTAGTCACTGCGGCAAAAATCCCCAAACTCAAATCTCCAATAGTTCAACCATTTTCTTTTCTTTTCTTGCGTTCTGTTTTTTTTTTACCTAACAATTTTGTGGAATATTGCCTGCTTTGCGGCGTCTTCAAAGCAATCAACCAATCAGCTGACCTGCTTCGCTTCCAGCAGCGCATGCAATCAACCGTTACAGCTCGCCTGTTTTCCCTTCTCCTCTCTGTCTCTGTCAATCTGACTCTCTATCTCCATCTCGTTCTCTATCCCTTCTCGTTCTCAAGCAATTCTTTTGCCGCACTTTATGTTTACGTTCATTTTTTCGCATTGTACTCGACGTTGTCGACATCAACATCCTCGTCAGGGTCGTCCTTCAGCCCGACGCGATATTCGACCCGCGTTTTCCTTCCGCCTTCGCTCTTCGCGCTTCTTTTTTTTTTGTATGTTTATTTGCAATGAGTTTTGCATAATTTGCGCATTTGTTTCGCTCGTCGTTGCGTTCGTTCCGAGTTTTTTGATACCCTGTTAATCAGATCGTGTGTCATTTTAATTTCAATAAATTCAAAGCGATATTCAAAGTAAACTTCCAACTTTTTGTTTGCGTATTTTAAATATATTTATTTTATTGTTTTTAATTCTGATAATTTCTCTTAAGTGATTTCAACAACACTCTCTAAAACATCTCTTTGCTTTATTCTTACCGCTTTTTTTGCTTGCTTTTAATATACGAAAAATCTTTGCTAAGTATATTCCAAATATCTTAAAATATACTCAACAAGAGATCTCTCATTTAAATATTAAAACATATAATTACGGGGTATTTGTATGGCTGGCCTTTTTCAATTGTTGCGTTCTTTGCTCGTATTCTATTTGTCACTGAGCCCAGCGGTGTTTTGATTTTGGAGCCAAAAGCTGCAGTTAGCGGCACAATGATGGACTCTTTCCAGCCCTCCCTTTTTCTCAGCTCGCCATCCAGCAAAGCCACCCGCTCATCGCGTTTATAAAATGGGAAAAAAAACTTTTCAAAAAATATTCGACGAGTTTTTAGCTGAATTTGCATTTTTATACAAATATATTTGCAGAGTGCTTGTTGTGTGTTGGGGTGGATGTGTTTTTATGGGTCGTTTTTTTTTTGTGGTGTGCTAAAATTTGGTATGGGGTCGAGAGGCCGATTGTTTGTCTGGCTGCTTTGTTTGCCACACCCATCCTGCGGCAGCAGCTTGTTTGCTCCAAATGTCAAGCACAGCGGTCCTGCGGTTGAGATTTTTATTACGCACAGTGCCTAAAAGTCGACTGCGTTTTCTTTTTTTTTTTTAAGGCTTTGTTTAAATTAATTCGCCAATTTGATTTCTCTTTCTGCTCACTTGCAGCACGATCGCGGCCGCAAGTACGAAGTGGATGTGAAGACCCGTGAGGAAATCACATCGCTGATTGCACATCATGTGACGGCAGTTAATTACATTTACCGCAACACAAAGTTCGACGGACGCACCGAGCATCGCAATATACGCTTCGAGGTGAGTACACAGCACAGTCACCCCATGGGTGGCTCGCAATTGCCAACAGGCAACAGGCAACAACAAACATCAACAGTTTTAGCAACGAACAAAGACCGTGTCCTGCATCACGTTAGGGATTGTGTATAGAAACGTTTACGCACAAACAGTGCCCAATAATTATCCGTAGCATTAGTCACTTAAAGTTGTGGCTGATTTTCATTTTCTAAATAAATACATTTGACACTATTCTGAGGCCGTTTTCATAATGAAATTAATAGTTTTATGTAAAGTAATCTAAATAGTTCTTAATTTTAAGCTTTGAGCAATCGCAGTAGTACGAGAAACTCGACCGAATGCCGAACTTCAAGCTATGTATTTTATTTTAGTAAAGAGACGTATGTTATCAGTTTCAACAGTCGATGCTACAATACAAGGGCCTTAAATAACAATAAACCATAAGAATGGATCGCGGATAATTGATATTAAATAATAATCTGACTCACAGAACTCTAAACGAGCTCTGGCTTAAATATATAGCTTATTTTCGTCTGCTACTACTACTACTACTAATTTGACCGCGAACCCATCAAGAAACATAGCTAGGCCAGCTTACAACAGAAAACATATAATAAAGTAATTGGTACTAAAATTATCAAAAGACTCAATAAGATTACGAACAAGGTATACGAAAATTGAGAGTGTCCATTTTATGAAGCAGAACTGCTAATAATTTGACGGCAGATGTATGAAAGTAAATGTGTCGACTAATAAGAGATATGCATTTGTAGTTATATTAATTAAGTTGCTGATAAATATATTTTGCGTTTTCTTCTTTTAATCTGTGAAATAAAAAAAAAAGAGTTAAGTATTATTACAGAATTATTTTTAAGTAATTAATTAGTTTTAAAAATGAGTTTAAAGCTGACTGTTAAAAAGCTTTTCTGAATTAATATTCATTTCTATATCTTATCTAGGTGCAACGCATTAAGATTGACGACGATACTGCCTGCCGCCATTCGTATAACGGTCCACATAATGCTTTTTGCAATGAGCATATGGACGTTTCCAACTTTTTGAATCTCCACTCCTTAGAGGATCACTCAGACTTTTGTCTAGCATACGTATTTACCTATAGGTTGGTAGTAATCCGAATCCTTATACGTTTATGAGTCTTTAATTTAAACACTCTCCACTCCCCTTGCAGAGATTTTACAGGTGGCACTTTGGGTTTGGCCTGGGTCGCCAGTGCTTCGGGCGCTTCTGGCGGCATATGTGAGAAGTACAAGACCTATACGGAGACGGTGGGTGGACAATACCAGAGCACAAAGCGCTCATTGAACACTGGAATCATTACATTCGTCAACTACAACAGTCGCGTGCCACCGAAAGTATCTCAGCTGACACTGGCCCATGAGATTGGCCATAACTTTGGATCACCGGTGAGTAAGAGAATATATTGGAAATGAAAAGAATATAGAGGTTTGATTTGGTTTTACCTTATTTACTTATTAACATTCTTAGTAAGTTAATTTCTCTCAGCCTTATAACTTTCATAATTTCATGTACTCAGTCTTCTTCTTTATCTGAGACTGTTTTCTAAGTGACTCCTTCTAATATTTATATACAGCACATTTTGTTTGATTTTCAATCGGTCTTACAGATAAACATAATTTGTTTTATACATATATTCGTATTTAAACTATTTCACAAAATTTTCTAATTTTACATTTGTCAACTAAGCTTGTTTTCAAGGCTCAAATTAACTTCTGTTTCCGTTCTTCAACTGAATTTAATTTTCATTTATTTTTATTTCACGCACTAAATGTTAAACCCATGTTGTGAGTAACATTCCGTGTCCCTTTTGAACATATTTAGATATATATTCTAAACTGTTGTCTGTTCCCCCTTCTTGCAGCACGACTATCCGCAAGAGTGCCGTCCTGGTGGACTGAATGGCAATTATATAATGTTCGCCAGTGCCACATCTGGTGATCGTCCTAACAATTCCAAATTTTCACCCTGTTCCATACGCAACATTTCCAATGTGCTCGACGTGCTGGTTGGCAACACGAAGCGCGACTGCTTCAAGGCCTCGGAGGGTGCCTTCTGTGGCAACAAGATCGTGGAGTCTGGCGAAGAATGCGACTGTGGCTTCAACGAGGAGGAATGCAAGGACAAATGCTGCTATCCGCGCCTCATCAGCGAGTACGATCAGTCGCTCAATTCGAGTGCCAAGGGCTGCAAGCGACGCGCCAAGACGCAATGCTCACCATCGCAGGGACCCTGCTGTCTGTCCAACTCGTGCACCTTTGTGCCGACGACCTATTCGCAGAAGTGCAAGGAGGAAACCGAGTGTAGCTGGTCGAGCACCTGCAATGGCACCACCGCCGAGTGCCCAGAACCGCAGCATCGGGATGACAAGACGATGTGCAACAATGGCACCGCCCTGTGCATACGCGGCGAATGCAGTGGCTCACCCTGTCTGCTGTGGAACATGACGAAATGTTTCCTCACCTCGAACATGTTGCCGCACATTGACAAGCGCAAGCTGTGCGAACTGGCCTGCCAGGATGGCAACGATACCAACACCTGTCGCAGCACAAGCGAATTTGCCGCCGAATATAATATACAACCGGGTGGCATTAGTCTCCAGCCCGGCTCACCCTGTGACAATTTCCAGGGCTACTGCGATGTCTTTCTCAAGTGTCGCGCAGTCGACGCCGACGGTCCCCTTGTGCGCCTCAAGAATCTCCTACTCAATCGTGAGACCCTGCTCACCGTCGCCGAGTGGGTAACCGGTAACTGGTATCTGGTGGTGCTGATTGGAGTCGGATTCATCGTTGTTCTTGGCGCCTTTATCAAATGCTGCGCCGTCCACACGCCCAGTTCCAATCCCAAGAAGCGTCGCGCTCGACGCATCAGCGAAACGCTCCGTGCCCCAATGAATACACTACGCAGAATGGTAAGGCAATTGCAACTGCTTCCACTCTGAATATAATTCGAGTGAGATTCAATTCCCCTGAGTTGGCTGTGGTGGCTTTATCGAGTTTTTTAATTTTATAGGTTATTTTTACGTTTCCATCTGCAATGCCGCACTTAGAAATAGCTTTCCTTTGACATACATTTTCTTAAATAATTTTGATGTGAACAAAAGACGGGATAACCTTTACCTTAATTGATATTTTTAACTTTTGACAGACAAAAAAATCAAATTTTTTTTTTTCTGAATAAAAAAATTAATTATTATTAGGTATTTATATTATTTTTGGGCTCATCTTGATATATCACTAGGCTAGTTGATATAGTCATATCCGTCAGTCCGTCTCAAATAAAACAATAAAAATAAATCAAATTTGGCATACTGGGTTTTTTTTTCTACAGGCAGTATATATTCTGATCACTATATCATATATATATATATCATCTCATCCAATTATAAAGATTCAGCTAGATTAATTACACTGTTTCAAATTACTTAAAATATCATTCTTACTATCTCTTCTTTCTCTCTTTCTGTCTCCTCTGTAAATGCAGCAGCGTCATCCGCACCAGCGCGGCGCCGGACCACGAAGCATTCCACCACCGGCGCACGAGGCGCAGCATTATCCCCGAGGCGGTGGTACTAGTGGAGCCGGTGGTGGTGCCGGAGGTGGAGGCGGACGACATGGAGGCGGACGTGGTAATCATCATCAAGCGCATCCACACGAATGGGATCGGCATCAGGGCGGGCATTCGATAGTTCCGCTGCCCACTGGCGGCAGTCACGCTCATCGCAGCTCGGCGGCGAATCAGGCGCGACGCAGCGATGGACGTGGGGCACGGCCCAGCAGCAGTGGACGACCACAGGCCAGCGGAGGAGCAGCTCGTTTGGGGTATGGAGCTGAGCTGGGTGCCACGGGTGGTGGCGGTGGTGTTGGTGGTGCTGCTGCTGCTGCTGCATCTGCTGCTGTCCAGGCTGCCATCAGCAGCGGTGGTGTTGTGGCACGTGCTCAACTGCCGCTGCCCTTGCCGCCGGCCAACGCACAACAGCCGCAACAGCAACAAGCACTCTCACCGCAACAACAACAACAACAACAACAACAATCGCAAGCGTTTTATGCGCCGAAAGGTGCGTGTTCCTCTAGACCCGTCACTCTAGTACCTTATAGCTAGCTGCTCTGAATACTCAACTGTTTCGACTGATTTTATATTGTTGCAAACACATTTACAATTTACAATTTTGGCATTTTTTCTTTTTTGGTTATCGTTTGTTGTATTTGCGCTTACATTTTTCTCCATCGAAACGCTAAAAATTCAGAATTACCACCACGCAATAAGTCCCGCTCATCACGTACCAACAACAACACAACCACCAACAACACTACCACAGCCACCCACTCGGCTGCTAGCAGCAGTAGCAGTAGTAAGAATGCCAAAAGTGCCAAAGCCAAAGACACAAGCCAACAACAACAACAACAACAGCAGCAACACAAAAGCAACAAACACAACAACAGCGGCCGCAGTCGCAGCAGCAGCAAAGATAAATCGGTTGGGGGTGCTGCCAAAACGCGTCGCAATATTGTCTATTAAATAACTTTATAGAGAAGCCAGAAAAGCCAACATGGAATGCATGGAATTGGAACGCCTCATACATGCCATATTGAAGACACAAGAACCCTGAACATCCCAGTACCCCTCAAAGCGCACGCATGCCTATCCCATCGTTCCAAGCAACGCTTTTCCCCTACCAAAAACCGAATTTGATAAACAATTGGTATGATCATTTCTCTTCCATGGAGCGTTTTTTCTTTTTTGTTTCCAGATTGTTGCTCGATCGCCGTTTATCTTCCTGGTTTCTACTAACACAACTCGCAATGTTTTGTTCTACCTATTTTGTAGTCTTTTCGCATGTTTCGATTTGGTTGGATATTTTTTATTAATTTTTTTTAAACCATTATTAAGACCCTTTTCCTTCTATTTTTTAGCCAAGCATATTGTATTGTTGTTGTTTTTGTTATTGCATGTGCACATATTACTGATTATAACTGATTATTCAACTATTATCAAATTAACATTCATATTAATCACAAAAAACTGGATCAATTAAAGTTGTCATGTCATGTTTTTGAAAATGTAAAAAACAAATTTTAAACAATGCTTTTGCTCTTTTTTTCTTTATTTTGTCTAATAATACTCTTGCCTATATTTCCAAAGTGGCTTGCAACAGCATGTTTTGCACAAAAGAACGAATTTAATATTCAAATGGTTTTACTGTAAATGAACTTTTGATTAAATAATTACCTCAATTTTATAACTTTGTCAATAATAATTTCTAAAAGCGTAATTTTTGTTTACAAATTTGTTTTAATACTATTATCAATGATTGATTTATTGATAACTATTGTATATTTTTAACCACTTAAAAATCATGGATTTGATATACTTTCTTAACAGCATTTTATTTGCATGGTTATAAAATCAATGACTACTAAAAAAATAATCTGTGTGCATGGTGTTTTTAATATGAATCGATAAAATGCGCATGGCCCAAATCAAGTAGCCGCCCTGGAGACCGGTATACTTGAATTGGCGTTAAAATGGCCATCAAACCAAGTCAAGAAACTAATTCAAATTTTTTTGTATCTCCCCTTTCTCTCTCTATATATATGCATCTCTACCATTATGTGTTATGTCTTTAATCTTGCAAAGGCGTCACGCCCCCGCCGCCGCTTCAAGTAAGCTTTAGTCGACCGACATCGCTGCATGAGCAACAACCACAACAACAACAACAACCACAAGAACAACAACAGCAGCAGCACCAGCAGCAGGAGTCGGAACAGTTGCAACAACAACAGCACGCCTATGCCGACGCATATGCGGCTTTGGGGCGCAGCCACTATGAGTCGACAACGCGGGCGCCCAACAACAGCAAAGTTTGACAGCCAAAATTGATGTCGGAGCGCCATAAGAAACCAAAAGCAAAACGGCAAAAGCAAAAGCAGCAACAACAAAAACAACTTCACATGCAGCTTGCGCAGCCACAACAACCACAACAAGAACAAAAATCAAATGAACTCAAATTAAATGTAAATGTAATTTTTATGCTAATTATTTTTATTTAAACAAAGCATGTAACAAAAAAAAAAAAGGAGAGAAAAGCAAAAATTGCATATGTACCAACAACAAAGTAACGCTAACAAAATGAATGATATTTTTGATTAAATAATTGATATGGAAATGCAAATCATTATTATTATAAATAATTAAAAAGGCAGATTGCATTAAATATATATATATATATATATATATATATATATAAATATATATACTTACAAAAAAAAACTATATATATATAATGATTGTGCGTACTTATTTACAAAGCAGCAACAACATGAATATAAATAATAACATTTAAATGTATGCAACACAAAAAACCAAACCACAAAATTAAAATTTATAAACTTACATAAATGTCGAACATTTACAGAAAAGTAAGGCAAGAATATAATTAATTCAAATTAAAAAAGCGCTAAATTTGTTTTTGTAAAAATAAGCTGCAAATGAGTTAAGCGGCTAGCACGGACAAAAGCATCGCATTTAAATTGTATTTAACTGTAATAAAGGCCAAACTTGAATTCAAGCCGTCAAAATTGCATTTGTAAACTAACGTAAATAAAAAAAATCAAAAAAACACCTATAACAACAAAAATTACATGCGAATTTCCATTTTGAATTGACTGAAAGAGAATCTAAAATGTGTCTTTTCAGTCATCCAGTTTTTCTTTAAACATTTATATGCTGATATTTTCGACCACCAAAAATACGAGTATCGAATAAAGCAAACATTAAAAGCAATTATTCAGTTCCCACACGTATGAACATATATATTTTTAATTTTTGTATTGATTTTCTATTGTCATTTTGTATTAGGTTTAAAGCTTTACTTTTAATGTTTAATGAGCGGTTTTTCTGGAGCCAGCAACTGATTATGTTAAATGTTACTCATCTATATATGGGATCTATATCCACCATTATTTTTAAGTAAACAATTATCTATATACACTATTGTATTTGTTGTATTTAATTAAGGTTTCTAGTTTATGTTTTTTGTGTTTGTCCGTATTTTCGCATCGGTATGCCAAATCTTAAAGAATTTTAAAATCTACACAACATCACACTACACTACATAGGTGCATCCATTATTCGACTAAGCGGTGCATATCTCAAAACTATATAATTCCTTTTGTTTATGTATTAAATTTTTTTTTTAATTGGCCATGGAGTATTTAAATCACTTTTGTCTTTTATTTTAGTGAGTAGATATTACTTAAAACGTATTTTATGGCAACAATTTTGAATGCGATTTTATTTTCACACATTTTAATTTGAAACATAATTTTAACTGGATAATTGAAATGTTTTCATAAAGTTCAAAATAAAATGAAAGATATTTTAAAAAATTCTTCTAATTTAATTTTTTTTACATTGCAAAAATAAAAAAAAACTTGTACATAGAAAAAGTTCTCAAAGTAATAAACAAAGCATTAATTAAGTAAAATAAATTAAAATTTAACTGCATATACAAAAGAACAAAAAGAAAAATAAGTTTAAAAGTAATTAATTAAATTGAAGTATAAAATATGTATTAAATTTAAATTGACAACAAATGAAAACTATGCTATTAGTTTATCGCAAGACAAAAAGCAGAGGAAATACAAAAACAAAAAACATTAAACTATTAATTTAATTATATAATGTAACGAATTAATTAATTCAACTTAAGGCTAAAAACACTGCTACAAAAAACATAAACAAAAATGGATGAACATAAGAAACGATAATAAAAACAAGAAACTACTATTTTATAAAATACAAATGTCAAATATGTTCTTTAAATATCGGAAAATTCAAGGGTAGTGATTTGAACATTGGTAAGTGAAAGTATTCGACTAACTTATTATTTATTTAAATTAATGAGGGCATTGAAGCTAAAAATAAAATACCCATTAATAATTGCGCTGCTCATCGCTTATATTCCGCTATGGTCAAGTCCAATATTCGACACTGAATTTGAAAATAATTACACATTTATGGGTTAAAATTTCTTTTTTTTTTATTTATTCGCATTTGTTAGCAAACATTAAAGGCACATTACAAGAATTAAATATTAAAGTACAAATACTTAAAAATTAGTATACAAAAAACTTTTTTTTTGGTTAAGAACAAAACACACACATAAGTGGCTGCTCCGGCAGCCTGGCATCACGACCGCAAACAATAGATCCTCCGATTTGGTCCACTATGCACGTACTCGAGATGCTTTCTTGCTCTTGTCGGCCTTGGGCGGGGGTGGCCCGCCTCTTCCGCCCTGCATGTGGCGATTATAGATGCTGTTGGGAAGAAAACCAAGCTTTTAATAATAACTATATTTATAATGATAGGTGATAGATATAGTAGCCGATCTACTATTTAAAGGCATAATTTATTTTAATAATTTTAAGTTTTAAAAATCGCAAGCAAATTTATTATTAAATTTAATAATTTATATTTTATACCTAATTTGATAGCCCTTCCAAAAAGTTCACGAATTGCATCGAAAACTATGTAAATTATTTAGTATACATCTCATTTTCAACGGTCTCTTTTTATCTATACTATATTCTACATATAAAAATATAAATATAAACTTAAAGCTATTGCTAGGACCTTAGGCTAAATAATGAGTGTATGTGGTTGATAATGAAAATATTTATTTTATAAACGTTTAAGGCATAGGTTTTTAATTGTACTTGTTTTGAGGGTTACTATTGTAATTTAAGTTGATTGATTTATTTTTAAAAAAATTTGGATTGAGATCACATTTGACAGTAGAAGCAGGTCATTGGAGTTGGGGAAGTATTCTGGGCGTGAGTTGTGGAAGTGTATGAAATGATGTGGACCACAATTACAGTTTGATGGTGCTAAATATGAATAATACTCATAAATAGTGACCACGCCGACTTTTATGCCATACAAATATTCAATTATGAATATGAAATTAGTCATTTGAATCGAAACATTAATGGTCAAGTTGGATATTGTGATGAGAGGAAGCCAGTATATATAGAAGAATATGGCGGAGTATATGGACTATATTTTATATTGTATTTATTAGGCTTGTGTTACTTCTACATGGAGAAATGATAATAAAAAAAGAAAACAATTGTCATAATTTAAGTTTTAAAAGATTTGTGATTCTAATAGCAGCAAATACATATATAATTTTCAAATAGGATTAAAATTTGGTTGAACTTAGTCGAATACTCACATTTTGTAGGTATCAGTTTTGAGATAGTCAATTACATGACTGATGCCCAACAGATACTGCTCGGCAATGGGATTCACCCAAGGATTCTCCTCCATTTTCATCACCGACTTGTTGCTGAGCAGATCGAGCTGTGCCACCTCGGGCGGCAGCACTTGCAGTCGGTTGTTTTGGATGTGCAGCTCGCGCAGCCGCAGCAGATCACCAACTTCGCGTGGCAGCTCCAACAGATCATTGTCCCTTAGGCCCAATATCTGTAGGTTCTTCAGCTGGCCGAGCTCCTTGGGTATGTACTCGAAATCGTTGTCACCCAAATACAAAGCGCGCAGCGTTTCCATGCCAAAGAAATTGCCCGGCAGCAGCTGTTCGTTCAAATTGTTGTACGACAAATCGAGCACTTCGAGCACGGGAAAGGCGCCAAAGCCGCGCGGCAGATTTCCCAGTCGATTGATCGACACATTCAGAATGCGCAGCTTTGGCATCGAGGAGAGGGAAACGGGCAGTTCGCTGAGTTGATTATTGGACAGGTTGAGTATCTCCAGATTCAGCAAATTGGCAATCCCAGGACTAATGACGCTGATCTTGTTGTGCGACAGCGTTAGCCGTGTAATATTCGACATGTTAACTGCGAGGAGATAAAAAATTAAATTTTCAACTGTTTATCATCTCCCAAAAATCAATAAAGATTTTTGGTATTATTTTTGCCAATAAAAGTATAACTACGAGTTGTACAACTATTCATTAGCAGGTGTATTGCATTTACAAATTGTCTTCTAAACCTAAACGATTTCGGTTAACATTTTTTTTTTCAATTTGTAAATGTATTCGAATTTCTAGACCAATTAATTGAAGCATTCTAAGCAACAAGTTTCCTACTGGTCCCAAAGCTAAAAATCAACAGCTGTTTGCTCGTATGCGCGCAATAGGCGTGCATGCTTGGCATAAGTGTGAGCGAGACAACGCTAGTGCGTGTTGTTACTATTTAAAGAAGAAACCAAATAAATATTTTGGGCGTTTCTGCATGCAATTTAAGTGCAGAAGCTACTCAAAATGTTGCTTAAAACGTTTGTTTCAGTTACCAGCCAGCACAAATAACTCAAATTTAATATTTCTACAAACAACTCTTAGCAATTTTGTTTTTAGATGGTGGCGTCATCAAACTGAGTTCTGTTAACAGCCTGTCGACGGCGTCATGAAAATGTTGTGTGGGTGTTTTTTGTTTTAAATTGATTGATTTTCACTTAGTTTGCGGGCACATTAAGCGAATGGTACTCACAGAGTCCTGGCAGCTCCTCGAAGGACACCAGGCCCTTGTCAACGAGGTCCAATTCACGATTTTGCGTCTCACGCGCTTCATCCAAAACCTTCTTCGCCTTAGACATTTTTGCATTAACAGGCAGACATTGATTCATTGTTGTTGTTGTTCGCTGTTAAGCGCACTGTTAACGTCAGATTCTGTTGAGCGTGCGGCGTTGCCACTTTCTGTAAAATTGGGCGAATGGAAAAAATGTTAATGTATTTAGCTAGACATAGTGCTATTAAACTGTTGTCAGGAATTTATTTAATTTAAGCGTGAGCTGTACTTTTACTGCTATGATGAAGATAACGATGATGTTATATGTGTTTTACTAATGCACTTATGTAACATTTATTGTTCCTCGACTCAAAATGTGATGCGGAAGCTGCCACAACGATTAGCCAAGTTTTACACCTTTAAGCAATGCACAGTGAGACTTAAACTATTATTGACTTATATGTTTATATAAAGTTATTCATGAACTCCATTTGAAATATGTTTGTTTTATTTATTTTGTTTATACAAAGCTCTTGATGGACTGCATTTGAAATATATTGGCATTTGGCTTTCCGTATGCTATTTAAGTGTGTACTAAGACATTTGCGCATTGTTGTTGTGGCACACAAAGCTACTCAAACTGTTGTTGTCGCAGCTGCCACTTTTTGCCTTTGCAGCTGCATCTGTTGCTCATCTGGCAATTTTCACTTCCTTTCCAGCACTTGACATTGAGTTTCACAATTTCTTCGCTCCATGTGGCACACAAACAACACACTTGACACGATTCACTATGCAAAAAATAATTTGGACTATATTTTTTTTCTTACTTTCTATTTGCAATTTTAAATAGGGTTATATATAGACGCTATACGTCAAGGTGCAACAACAAAAATAATATAAATATATATATATATATATATATATATCTTGCACTGTTGCCGCTAACTTTGCATTTGTGCGGCTCATTATAATTTTTTAATTCATTGTGGCCCAAAAAAATAGCCAAAAGCAACTAAATGCGTCACCTTCTTTCGCCACGCGCTCTTCCGATCAACTGAGAATATCGCTCACGGCGTGCACCAGATCAATGCTCTGATCGATCGATCTATGCTGCTGTTGTTGCTGTTGCTGCTAATGGAGCTGGTTTTTGCCTTTTTTGTCAGTCAATGAAAACAACGATGACAGAACGGCCATATTGCAGCAGCGCTCCGAAGATGACATACGCTTACAGAGTGCAAGGAGCCCGATAACTAAACTAGAATTTAAATTCTTACTATTAGAGTATATGATACAGTATATATATGTTAAACAATTTGAGGCAAACTTTTTGCTTTAGAATAAAACTGCATCTACATATCATATCGCCATCGGGTTTTTATAAAAGAGGATTTAATTAATTGTTCCTATGAGAGCTATATAATAGAGTAGATAGAGCTATATAATTTTATGAAAGCCTAACTAGATTTTCAATTATACTTATGAAAGCGATATGAAATTTTAAAAAATGTTGTATATTTTATTTAGTAAGCAGATGCCTATAATCTTATGAATAAAATGCAATGCTAGATTTTCAATTGGTTCTGTGATAGGTACAGCAGTTTATAATTTTATCAGAGCTATATATATATATATATGTATATATATATATATATATATATATATATATATATATATTTATATTTTCTGTTTAAATGGCCATAGTTTTATCAGTCACTTAATACAGAGACATTAAAATCGGTTAAACTGTTTAGTAGTATTTAGGATTTGTTGTTTTTTGGATACTTTGCAGTAAGCTTAAGTGAAACCCGTTTGACAGCATTCAATTTTGTGGCATTATATAAAATACTCTTACTGTTACGGAGCTTACTTGTCAAGCAATTTGTTTTGTTCAACAATTTGTGTCTCTCTTCTCTTGTCGACCCGTTAAATATTGAAATAAATAATACAAAAAATTAAATAATATGTTTTTATGAGAATATCTTGATGGTTTTGAAAGCTAAACCTACCAATTTACTAACCAATTACTAATTTACCAAATTGCATACCAATCACAGACCAAGATTCTTAAAATATAAATATATTCAGATCATTATTATTATAATGTTTTTATTTTTGTTTCGGAATATGCTGGCTTTGAAATTGTGTTGAAAATTAGAGTAGAAAGTCATTTGGTATTTTTACATAAAACCTTTCAACGAGAGTAGAAGCTGCAGCAGGTTTCACCAGATCCACACTATGTCGACTCATATTCAAATTCAGATTCCGTGACATCCTCATCACAGTGACCACGGCACACTAAGCAAAAATATATCGATATAATGATTTTAGAATATTTCTGTAGTTGTCATATTCACGATTTACAATTTCCCTCTATATGACTGAGCAGTTGAAACAAAATCAGACAGAAGAGGAAAATGTACTTGGATAGCTTCATGACGACTATTGTGCACTGAAGTAAAATTGCGAATAGAAATGGGAATCAACTAGTAGTTGTATTTATATACGAGTATAAAGGTTTTATAAGTTACTATGATGAAGTGAGAGAAAAGCGGGGGTCAAGGATTTTATTTTTAATGAACTATAATTTATTACTTATATATATACAATACATTCAAAAAAGTACTACAAATTTGTTGTAATAACTGCGAATAATTTAAATTATTGGCAAATGAAAATAAATTGATTAAAATGACTACTAAACTGAAGCCTAAAAATAGAGGAAATGAACGAAGTCCCTTCATAGAGTTCAGCTTGTGATTTAAAGAACTAACTATGAAAATTCTATGCATGAAACTGCTCCGGTGATGGGAAAACAAAAGTATTTTTGAACAAGATATTAGACGAATGATATTTCAAACAACCGAGAAATATCAGGGAAAGCAGGAAACTATTATTGAGAAAAAATCATTTGTCAACTGAGATCTAATAATACCACGCTTCATAATGTTTGCATCTGAATATTTCGTATATATTTATTACAGTGGCTATTTTTGAATAGAACAGATTTTCAATTACGGATATGGCAAATGCAATAAACGTATAAAAAGTATTCTTGTTCCTGTAATCGAGTTCTTTGTAATACCGAAAGAGCAATACTAGCAAGAATTCAGCAGTGTTTTCCTGTTATTAATATGTATACTTAATTATTCCGATATCTAGAAGTATACTGTTTAATTTCGCAGAGCATTTTATTTATTGCGCTCGATGTATGCCAGCATGGTAAATCAATATTTTATGCATGCATCACAAAGGTGCATTATCCGTGACAACTTTCCGATTAGACAGTCAGTTGCATTTTTAATTAGTTTATTGTTGGTGCGGTCGTCGGAGCTCTGGCTGTGTTAGTTGCATCTCTGATATGCATTGTTAGTCACATTTTTGTTTTCGTATTCATTTTCAGATCGCCTGTCGATTCAGTCAAAGCCAGTGAAAGTTTGTCTTCTGTGCCTTGTGTTTTATAATTTGCGTGTTGCATACTTTTCGGGCGCAGTGCAGCTAAATTTCGCATTTCACAATGGAGAAAATAGCCACTTTTCTGCCAAAATGTTTTTGGGCTAAGTCGACTGGTTCAGGCTGCTGGAAAAATTGGGTAGCCCAATTTGAAGATACGATCTCAAAATATTCGATATGACAAAAATTGTTAGCAAAATTAAAACTATCTGCTATAAGAAATGTACATTTAAATTTTGTTGTTTAGTTTTTTGCAGAAATATTGCTTTTTTTTCCTTTAAGGCACAGTGGGCCAACATTTTTTAGTGTACGTGTATGTGTGTGAGCGTGTGTTGAGCGCTTCATTTCCGCTGTATAAAATATGCAAAACAATGCAAACTCTCGTTGGCCAGAAACAAAAACAACAAAAAATTAAAACCAAACTTTTGCTTGGCCGGAAAAATTAATTTTGTTTTAGATGTGGAATTTCGAGCGCCAATTTCTGGCTACTAATATTGTGGCAACACTGGCTCTGCCACCCACTGGCAATAGTTTTTGTTTTAATTAACTTTTTTTGTTTTTGTTCCATATATTTGAGCACCGTTTGCAGCGTTGCCCAATTCTGCTAATTTTCAATGCAACGAAATATTTAATAAAACATTTTCCGGCACATAACAATGCATCTCTGTGGGCTTGCAAATTCCATGTGCCTCAATGTGAAATAATTGATTACATTGTTAAGCTACATCAAAACTAATAATTACGAGCTTTTCCATTAAATATTTACTTAAGTTTTTCGTTTGTGTGTACTTTAAAATATTATAACAATCAATTCTGAGAATGTTAAATGGTTGTAAAAATATATATACAAAAGTGCCAAAATCTGAGACGTAAAAGTAACTGTTATTTGTTAAATAACATTATTTTTAATTTTCTATATATTTGCTATATATTTTCTTCAAATATAAATATTCTGCCAATGGCACAGCTTAATTGGTACTGTAATGTTATACCATTTGCCAAACAATTTCAAATTAATTCTTCGCAAAAATGATCAATTGTCACTTAAGGTCATTTTTAGTAGAGATCTTTTTTTACGTTAAATTTACTTGAAATCTGTCTAAGTAGGACAATAGGCGAATTGTGTTGGAAATGAACATTTCCGATTATGTACTAAAATGCATAGAGTTATAGATAGTGTAAGCTGTACAAAGAAATTTAAGTTGAGTCCATAATTGGTTGGGGTGTGCTTCTGGTAACTCCTGTGCATGGTAAACCGCTGGTGGACTTGCTCTGGGGTTCGAGTTTTATACGTACAGGTTTTTATCGTTTATTCTTTGAACTTGTGCGATGTACCACATTTGACACAATGCAATGGCTTACTGAAGATTCGTTTTAGATATACGAACTCCTGACATCGATTTTATTGAACCAAACCGTCAAAGTTCCTAGGGGCCTGTAGACCATTTGAATGGAAATTATCAGTTATTTCCTCTATTGGGTTAGAATGGTGTAGGTATTTTTACCCATTAAACTGATATGAGTGAATGAAAACTCCCTTTGAAATTGTGAACTTTGGGAGTTTCCTGTACTTATCACATTATTTCTTGTCTTTCAGCATGCTGTGCTCCTGTCATTCGGGTCCTTTTTTTAAACAAATTTGCTCGATCCTGTTGTGGAAATGATTTGTAAGCTGAAAATACTTCTTAATAATAATAACAATAATAATAATTTAAAG